GGAGAGGCAGGGGGCTGGGGAGAGACAGGGGGCTGCAGAGGGGCAGGGGGCTGCATTTGGGGCTCAGGGCTCACGGGGCRGGGCAGCACAGGGCCCTTTCCACCATTTCCCAGCGCCACCGGAGGTGGAATCTCAGCCTTGTTGATCTGCTTCCCGCTCCGGACAGATTCCAGCATCTGCTCCAGGGTCTGGGGGCAAAGGAGAATGGGGCAAATGGTGAAAATCTGGAGGAATAGGGAGAAATAGGAGCATAGATGGGAAAAACGGGATAAAACAGGACTCAGAATTGGGACAAACTCCTCAGTACTGGGCAAAAGTGCACGAACCTGAAGTTATTCCATGGGTTATAAGGCTGGGGGGATCGGGTCTGGCCAGAGTGGCCAGAGTGGCCAGAGTGGCCAAAGCCCCAATTTCAGGCGTTCAGACCCACCTTGAGGCCACGCTGGAGGCGCCGCAGCCGAGCCCCGTTCTCCCCTGCGGCGTTCCCGAGGGCTGCCCGGTACAGCTCCGCGCGCTCCGACAGCTCTGCCAGCAGCTCCCCGGCCCCTGTGCGCTYCTGTGGGAACAGCAGATCTCCAGGATTGCCCCTCTGGGATTGCAGTTGGGATCGGGGCTGGGTCACCCAGGCCATACCTGCGGGGTATCTGCAGCAGCCRCACTCTCAGAGTCCTCCTCCAGCACCTCCTGCAGCTCTGCCTGCTCAGGGATTCTGGGAATCAGCCACGCCTTGGGGCAGGGATCCCCTTTTTCGGGCTTGGGACCTACCCCTGACCTCCCCTCACCAGCAGCTCCTCCTCGTTCTCCAGATCTTCCTCCCCCTCCTCCTCCTCTTCCTCCTCCGGGGGGTCCTGGAGGCAGAGCTGGGCCAGGGCCTCAACTGCTGCCAGAGCTGCGGGGGAAGGAGGGGTCACAAACCCATTTGTGAGGAGGTCGGTCCCCGTTCGGGGGGTCCCGGCAAGAGGAAGGGGATTCACCTTGCTGGGGGGGTGGGGGCGGTTCCCCCCCCGCCGGCGCCTCCCGGCCYCCCAGCAGCAGCAGCAGCTCAGCCTCCAATGCCGCATCGCCATCGCCGCCGGGATCCGCCGGGGTCCCTCCSGCCTCGGGATGCGCCAGCAGCCCCATCTGAACGGGAGCCACAGCGCTGAGGGGCGAGCGAGGGGATCCCCCCCGCATTCAGAGCAGGGACCCCCAAACGTGGTGCAGCGGAGGGGGATTTTCAGGAGCCCACGGAGGGGAGGATGGGAGCCCCCGGGCTCCGGAGCAGGGGACGATGGGGGTCACACGCACCTGCCTGGCCATAGCGGCCCCGCGGCCCGGGACCCGCTGCGCTCGGCTCATGGCTCCGTGCAGCGTCGGGCAGGGCCGAGCTGGGGGAGAACACGGGGAACGCTGGGCCTGAGCTGAGCTTCTCCCCCCGCAGCTTCCCGCCAGCCCCTCCGAGCCCCTTCAATGCCCCAACTCCCCTCAGAGC